AAGGTGTTTTAAGACCACATTTCTCCACATTCCTCTTGGCTACTCCTTTCTTTCACATGCAGGAATCATCCCTCCTTTGCCATATTGCTTAGTTTTCATTATTACTTCTTTATTGGTTTGGATCCTGAAAGAGAAAATAAAATGGAAAAAAAAAATAAAGAGAAAGAAAAGAGTTTAGGATTATTCTAAGCTTGCTTTCATAAGCTTCATGCACATCTCTGATAGGGTACGTAGTGGGTCATTTGAGGTTAGGAACTTATTAGAGCTTTTTTATTACATATTTATTTTATATATTTTTTAATTTTTTTTTTTTTTTTCTGGGGAGATAGTAATGATGAGATGCAGATGGAAAAGTGGCAAAGGGAATAGATAGGATGGTGCTGCACACAATCTCTGTGCTCCTTCAACACAAGATGAAGTTATTCTTCTGTTAAGCATATGACTTCTTAAAGACCAAAGTCTTGTCTACTTCAAGCTCTGAAACTTAACCAGAGAATTTTAGTTTCATGTCTTGGCTTATAGCAGGGACATGAGATATCACACAAGACATGGGCTTTGGTGCCTTTATGAAAGCAAGTAATGGCCTGAACGATTTTTGCAACTTCTTAAAGTATGTATCTAGTGAGGAAAACAAGTAATGAAGAATTCATTTTTAACACCACTTGCACTTGGCTTCATACTGAGTTACAGAAGCCTGATGTTTTCTTGCTTTCCCAGTTGCCCTAGCAGGCAGAGAGGAAATTGGTGGTGGGGACAGCATGGTGTAGAATGTGCAAGGGGCCACAGGTGCTAATCCCAGCTCTGATATTGATTTACTGGGCAAATCACTTTGCTTCACATATGCCTATCAGTAAAGATCAGGAGGTTAATACTTGCAACACTTCTCTCATGTGAAATGTGATGATTGTAAGATCTGGTGTGTATCCACAGCTTCCAAGATGTGAGAGCTAAGTGCTCTTACAGAGCCTTTTGTCCTAATATAGCTCCTCTCTGTATTGCAGGTAGTGTGCATGCTGCCAGCCAGAGGCTGGGTCTTTCCTTTCCTTGAACCTCCTTGCAATGACTATTACAGGGCAGGGTTTCCTACATTTTTACAGTGGGAAGACTGATGCTGTCAATCTTAAGTAGACAGGGTTTTAAAAAAAAAAGCTTCATTCACCAGTAAGTTACTTTCATCTCCAAATGTAATAGGAGACTAGTTCTGCTTATTGGTCTGTGATTTCTAGAATTTGCTCACTTGCTTAGAATAAATGGGAAAAGTAGTACCAGGGTGAGGTGAGAACCTGTCATATCTGAGGAAGATAAAAGGGAAGGGGAAACTTGAGGTAACACCGCTTAATGGTTTTCTACCCTACAGGCTATGTGTTATTTACTTTCTCACGGATCCTCCAAGAGCTGGTACTGGCATATTTCCAGTCCTATAGGGCTTTGCTAAAGTAAAGGATTTTAGATGCTTATGTGGACTCAGGAGATCAGAATTCTCTTCTGTGCCACAGATTCAGGAAGTACGTGGCTTCTGTATATCTTATTTTCTAGCCTCTGGAATAATGCTCTTTATTTGCTTTTCCTGATTAGCTTTTCAGAATGCGTGTTCTCTTCCTTTATGGAGTCATTCAGGCACTCACACACACACACATACACACAGACAGATGGATAGATACAAGTATACAGCATTTACAGGGGATTGTGTAAGCCATACAGTGACAGAACTGATGCAACACTTGGAAATTTTTAAACCCTTCTTGTTGGCCTGTTTGGAAATAACATGTGTACTACCACTGTGCCATGTAATGCGCCAGCAAAGCATTGGCTTGCACAGAGATGGAGGCAGGTGCTGAATTATGCCCTTGTTTTACCAAAAATCTCCTAGTTGGGGGCTATCCTAAAAGACCCCTGCATCATACTGGAGGGAATAGGGTTGGTGGGTGACCAGCTGTAAATCCAAATTCAGAAATCCTAGCTGCAGCATAACCATGTAGTACTTGTGGCATGATCCCTGCAGCATTTATTTCTTGCACGTTACCCCTGGGGAATATGTTTGTTGACCTTCTCACTCCTGTCACGCTGGGGGCTTTTGTCATATCAGAATACGTTGCTGTGCTTCTCTCTGTCCCTTGACTTGTCAGAGACACAAATCTTTTTCAAATGTTCTCCCCTGTTCATTTCCATTATTATATCTGGTGCTTCTAGGTGGCAAGCAAAAATGAATAACCTTGTAAATGCTCCCTGTCTTTCAATTTGTTTTATTTTTCATACAACGTGTCAGTGCATTTTTGTTGAGTGTTTTTAATAAGATGAAGTTGATGAAAATAAATTGCTTTGTAGTTCCTGCTGTGGGTGACAGAAATGCTGGGTCTGTGATTTTCCAAAACTGTGCATTTGAAACCAGTGTGGAGGGTGTTCTGTATGCCTGTAACTGCAGTCATCTTTGTAAAATACCTCATAGAAAAAGAAAACAGCTAGCAGTTTGAATTTTAGGGAGCAAGATGCACTGCTGTATCCAGCTTCAGTGAAAGAGGGAGCTGTCAAGGAGAAATTTAGGATTGATTCTGTGCCAGTCTTGGGTCTGCCATACGGGATAGTTAGCCAGATCTGTCTCTAGTATGAGAGGAAGAATGAATTATAGAGCAAACCCTCTAACCAGACTATTAGCCAAGGCTTGAAAAGTAAGGATTTGAACTTGAAAATGTGAACACCCCATTGCCCATGGCTAGTGCATGTCAGCTTTCTTCTAAGCAGTTCAATGTCTTGCTCAAAAAAATGTAATGCAGATAAATGGAGATCTCCAAATTACCAAGGTGTACTCAGTAGACAGTCTGGTATCTACTCATCTCTTCTTGGAGAGAAGATAACGCACCTATTCCAAATGTGATTTTCAAGTCAAGAATTTTCTTTTTTTCTTACTCCTTTTAATGAAGAAAAAAAAAAAAAGGTCAGTATTGTCATATTTCTTATAACTGTTTGTTTTGATAGAAGTTGCAGAAAATGCCATTTTAATTCCCAAAAGTTTATAATTCCAGTTTGTTGTCCACTTTTTTTGTGCTTTTTGTACTACTTACTTAGCTGGCAACACAATGTTAATGTCCATTTCTAACTGCATTCTCTGCTGCACTTTTATTAGTCAGCACTCTCCTTGTACTGGTTGGGAGCTGGCACATGGAAGTTGCACAGGAGCTGATAATGGACCAGGAGCTGGGGTCCGACTTCTGCAACTTCAAAGCTAATGCCATTATCATTAAGCCAATTTTACCTCCCTCAGAAAAGCTTTTAGTCCTTCTACTGTTATGTCTTTTTGGAAACATTGAAAACAGGAACAATTAAGCCCCAAATTTATAATAATTTTCTCCTCTTTCCATTTCAAATTCAGAAATTACCTCCAAGATTATGCTGCTTGAGGTACAGACAAGTCAGTATCCCGGATTAATTATTCTCATTGTCCACTCAAATTTGAAGAGTTGGATTAATACTGGCAGTAAAACTAGCTTGCTGTAAAGCACAGTGTTTAGAAATAGGGATCATACTGCACGTACAGTTCAGCCTTGTCTGCTGTGCTATAGGGAGGAAGGGACAGAGAAGTACACTCAAACTTTGGAAAAATACCCAGTTATGTTTGCAAGTTTTCTGGTGATGCCTCTTAAACTGCCAAAGTTTTGAATGCCCTATTCAGCCTTGCATTTCTGTTTTACAGAAACAACCTTTCAGATTACATGCCTTGTTGTACAACCCTGAAACTCACTTCAAAGGAGTTAGGCAGTGAGGGAGTACAGGATTCTGCCTCTCTTACAGGGTTTAAACCAGCTAACTGAGCCGAAGTACTTTTTTTTTTTCAGTAAAAATAATTTGTTGTTTACACTTCTCATTTCAGACTGAATAAATAATGTTACTGCACTTCATTCTGTATTAGAATAGTATATGCTGGGCAAACAAGCGAGGAGACAGAAGAACATAAAATCACAGCAGAGATGGAAAAAGTCCATGGAAGTTTCAAGCAATCCTCTTACCAATAAAAGTCTATTGTTAGTCCATATTACATCTGGTTTATTTTTAAATGCTTCAGTTGATGGTGTTCCTGCCAATTCCCTGGGGAAATTATTTGATTCCTACCATTAGGCAACATTTCCAGAGATTTACACTAAGTTTTCCTCTGCTTGGCTGCTTTTCATTGCCCCTATTTACAACTACTTACAACAAGATGATCCCTCCATGGCAAGTCCTTTCCTTCCAGAAGATTTCACTCTTCTCTCTATGACTGCCAAGAGCCATGTGCAAGGTCTGGGGTTTATTCTGTTGCTCCTAGATCCTTGTTGTGCCACTTTTATTCACTCGGTGTCGCATTTTTCATGTGAGCTCCAAAGGAGGGCAACTACTTCACCAAATCACTGCTGTTAAGTAGCAGAAGCTGAGGCCCTCAAATAGGCTGCACACATGTAGGGGGGTTTTATCTGTTTTTCATAATTCAATTTCTTATTTTCATAATTGGTATAATTATATCAATTCATTATTTTATATTTTAAATTATTAGCCATTTTTAATTCCCTTTAGTTTGTAGACATCTGTCTGGTTCTCAGGTGTCCAAGGCAAAACAGTATGTGAGTACAGTTTCGACACAGCTGTTTTATAAAGGAACTGTCAAGTTGGTTAAGGGACCTGAGGCTTCCTAGTACAGTTTTACTCCACCATAGCTTTAAAAGCTGCTGTGAAATCTGAGATCTGATTGTTCTCTTCTTCCCCTCCTGGTCTTTTGAGTCATCTTTGGCTTACAGATTTTCTTTCACTGTTATATTGAGTACTGAGTCCAGCAGTGGCGTGTCTAAGTTTGCAGAATCTCTGTTAAGGATATTAATCACTCCTGATTTTAAAATTCTGATCCTTTTCGTCTGGTCTTCCCAGAAGTATTCTCCTTGACCTCATGTAAATGGAGGTGTTTGTATGTACTGCGTGAATGTGAGCAGGTTTGTATGATAATATGCTTACAAAATCCTGGCTTTGTTATTTTCTAGGTATTTGGTGCTAGAACACGTGTCAGGTGGGGAGCTCTTTGACTATCTCGTAAAAAAGGGAAGATTGACACCAAAAGAAGCCAGGAAGTTCTTCCGACAAATCATCTCTGCTTTAGACTTCTGCCATAGTCATTCAATATGGTGAGTAGAGCCATTTCTAACAGGAATTGCCTGTTACATAAAAGCACAGAATAAACAAATCTTATTTCTTGATACTTTTGCTTACTATTAAGTAACTGATGTTAAAAGCATTGTGTAAAGAGCTGATGTATGTTTTAATTCTTGGCCATCTGTGAGACAGGGTGCCAGTCACAGATAAACTGTTCATGGGGAAGTTCGTCCGTCATTTCTCACCAGAGGAGAATTCATTCACAAGGACTGCTTTAACCAGGAAAGCCAAAACCACAAAGGAAAAACAATTTAATTTCCATCATTCTTGGGGCACTTGCCAATAACTAAGAATTACTTACACTGTATCAAAATGAATCCCTGAAGAAACCTGGGACAATTACAAATACAGCAAAGTAATTTTATGGCTTCCTTCAGTTTTTGGAAACCTGCTGGCTTTTGGCAACCTTCACTGAGTCCCTTCTGGGCATTTGAGTCACTGTTGCCTTTAATTTCGTTTCCAGTATGGAAGAATTTCATTGATCTGATTGCTGTTGCTACTCCATGATATGATTTAACCACCAAGTGTGGTTTAACCTGTGCTTTCAGGTGGTGTTTTAAATTGGATGAGTTTCTCCTTCATTTTCAGCATTTAAGTAACTTAAATTATATTGAAGTCAAGTTGTTATAATCAGTCTGAGCAGAAGAGTTTCTACATAGCTGCTGACCCGTAAGTGACTGCTTATTTCTCAGAAATGTAGCTCCTCACAGTTAGATTGGCTGGGGGACACCATTAACATTGTGTCTGTGTGTCTGCTTCTCCATAACCACAGGCAGCCTTAGACACCCCATCTGTGGTGGGAGGTGGAAGGCCACTGATAGATACTGTGGTAGCAGTAACCATACAGTGATTTTTCTGTACCCCTAGTTTTGTGCTGAGAAGTCACAAACCAGACACCCATGGCATAAATGGCCACCACAAAAACAGATGCCTAAATATTTACCTTGCTTTTCCAGCTCTCTCCCTCTACATCTCTGGATCATTTCAACAGGAAATACTAATACGAAAGCGCGTATATTTCTAATAAATAGAAAGGGAGATTAGAACCTTTATGAAGGATATATTAAAGAGAGCATAATGTTAGCAGGAGAGGCAGTTCAAAGGTGGTGGATCTGGGTGAAAAAGATCCTGAGGACAATGCCTGCCTGACACTGGCAGGGTTACAGTAGTCATAGAAATTCCCAGAGAGAACAGGTTGCACACGATAACTAGAGTATCTAAGTTTTTTCTGTTGGCAGAGACCTCTGACAAGTTTTATTCTGCAAATTCCACAATTTTCCTCCCTGCTAATCAGCTGTATTGAGTGAGAAGACCTTCTTATAATCAGCATAATCCTTGGTAGGTTGTACAGCTGTTATTTTTTATGCACTCCGGGCAGTGAAACTGCTGGTGGATTGCATACATACATACATGTTTTGTTCCCTACTTGGCTTAACACTTAGAGACCCAGTCCAAGAAGACTCAAAAATGTTGAAGTGCAACTGAAATTATTTGCTCTTCCCAATGAATATTCCATAGAAATATGAAACTCCACTGGGATAGAATTTTCTGCAAAAGCATGCATGTGTACCCATGCATTCTAGTCCTTTGGGCTTGTGATGGATACCTCTTGATATGACAGGCTTTAATAAACTGAGTGAGGATAATGGTGAGGCTGTCAGACAGACAAGCACTTCTGCAGGTTTAACGATATGTGGAATTTCCAAGGCAGAGTGTATGCCTCTCTTGAGGAATCCATTTTCCTCTGTTCAACATACTGGATTGTGGGCAGTAGTCTTGTTTAGGAGTAAGTCCCCTGTCTCCTTGCCAGCTCCCACTGGACTAGCATCTAGTGCTGAGTAAGTTAGCAGTAAATCATAAGCTTTCCCTCCCGCCAGGTCACTCAAGGTGGTATGTGTTATTAACTCTGTGTTGCATTCTGGACAGTCATCATTAAACCTTTTTTGAAAATCAGAACATGCATAAATATATGTATGTGCATGTGTGTGAGTATAAAAGTTAATGTGCTTTCCTAAGCAATGAAGCCTGACCTTGTCCTGTCGTGGGGCAGAGAAATGACAAATCATCTCATCAGCCGGGTTATCCAGTTATGACCACGCTGAAAAATGAAGGCTTCTGTTTTGGTTAATGACTAAGTGTGGGTGCCTCTAACCTACCGGCAGAATAGATTGATAGCCTGGTGTCCCCAGCCCCATATTATTGTCCCATCTTCTTCCTGTACCTCCCAAAACACTGTGAAATATCTCTGGCTTACTTTCACAGCCGTATGTAACCACATTCGACTTTCACTGCTGAAAATGTTTTGATGCACCAGGATTCCCAGATCAAAGAATCAAAAAGGATTCCCTAATCCTCCCGTCAGTAAAAGGCTTCTACTGCTATTGTGTGTGGGGATCCCCTGTGTCTGAGAGGTGTTTTCAAAAAAGCAGTTCAGGAAAAAGGAAGCAGAATAGGTTGGAGCTTGAGTCTGTGTGTTGGTTTGAAAAAATTTGAGTTTTCTGTTCTTTATTTAACAGAAACAGTGGGGGAATATTTGATGTACCTCACTCGAAGTTGGAGTCACTTATGGGGTTTTGTGGTACAGGTTGGCCACGGGGAAAGCTTATAGGTAACCTACTGTAGGGTTTTCTAAGGACTTTTCTGTAAACAGAACATTGTGCCATGATAGGGACCCACAGACAACCATGAATGCAAACGGACAGCACCATGCCAGAGGTATTTATGGGATCCTGCAAAGTGTATCTGTGTTACCTTGCTGCTTGCCCTGAGCTGGCAAGCCAAGCAGTTAGATCAGTGATGCAGCATTATTGCTTCTGGTTCCAGCTCTTCTTCTATACTAGCTCTGAGGGCTCTGCACCATGCTGCAGTGCCCAGAGCAGACACGCTCAGAGGTGGTGCAAGAGATGGCAGAGGAACCTGGGGTTCCCTGGACATCAGTGTAAGACCATCCTAGCCTGGGAAGTTTTCTTTGGACAGAACTGATGTTTTTTTCCTAAGCTGCTGTTTACCTAATGCTGCATGTCTGCTGTCCTAAATTCAAGGCCTTTAAGATGTCTCAGCTGTGTTCCCCAAATTAACAGTTCCTTTTGCGTATCGTGCCTCCATACGGTGGGAGACCTCTCAGCTAATTCAATGTGGACTGAGTTTCTGTCGGAAACAATGTAGGAGCACGTATTGGGGTAGGTCGCAGATCCTTGCTTCTCTGAGGAAGTCTCTTTTCTCGGGAGCGAGGGAATGCTGCAGCACCAAGTGAGGGTTGAGCCTTGCGAGGGGAGCTGGCGGGCGCCTCATTGGCTGGGCGTGACATCACCTGCAGGAGCTGGGATTGGCGGCCAGCACATTTTATGTGTGTGTTGGGTTTTTGCTTTGGTCAAGCTCATATTTGGTGTCTGTATCTCACAAGCTGACAAATAAAAATATGATTACAGAAAATGCCCCATGGCAAACCTTATTATGGCTTCAGAGATAACAGATAATGCCAATTACTGTGCAGGGCACTGGTGACACGGAGAGGAAATCCCCTGCGGTAATGAGCAGCGAGATGATTATTTCATTTTATTTTTATTTTGGTTGCGTTTCATTTTGTGGGTTTGTGGTTTTTTTTTTTTCCAAAGCATGCACAAGAGGGGTTAAGGCAGGTTCTTTATGAATATTGATAAATGACAATTATCAGGGCCCTTTCTCCTTTCATTGCCTGGAGCTGTGCTTGCTTGAGTACGCACAAGGCTCTTGCTGAAGTGCGTCTGTATGTGCATGCGTAGGCATGGGGGTGTGTGACTTAGAGGGCTGAGACAATGAATAAGAGCTTTGTCTGACTTTGCCTTGTGTTTTTCCCATCAGTGCAGGTGGGGGACAGTCTACTTATAAAATAATGCTTCAAGATTTCACAGCAGTAGTGCCAAAATCTCTGGTATATTCCTGCAGGCAGAAGCTGCATAGCACTGTCAGTAAAGGAAGCACACTTTGGGGGGAAAATCTGGTGTGTCTTCAAGAAAAAGAGAAAGCTGAAGAATGCCAGGTGCCATGGCATTCTGTCAGATAGTGCCACCCTCCTCATAACTCCTGCTCTGCCTTGTTTGCTTCATTTATAAGGAGTGTGCTATGGTATTCTGCAGGGATGGTCTGTCAGACACTTCAGACTGCAGCAGCTGGACACTTTGAAATCAGGATTTAAGGCCTCCAAATGTCAAACTGTTCTAGAAATTGTGGAATTTAACAAGGTTGGCTTCTGGTTGGTTATTTTCTGGCCCTTGAGTCTTTAGGTTTTCAAGTTCTTTTTCATGCCATCAGAAGGGAGAAAGGTACCTTTTTCCCCTGTTCAGAGCTGAGATTCACCAATCATTGCCTGAATCCAGGACTTTCAGTTCTGTGATTGAGACGCACTCTAAAGCAGTGAGGAATTTTCAGATTCCCCTTGTACAGGGAACCGGAAAAAAACCATCAAGTACAGCAGCTGGAATGCCAATGGCAGAGTTACCAGCTCAGCTAGAATGGATTTTTGTAAGTTTACTTTTTTATATAAACCACTGGAAACTCAGAAATGGCATAGTCATATCGTAAGCATAACCAGGTAACATTCTCTGGCGAGGACAGTATTGGTGATCAGAACTGACAGCCTGTTCTGGCTTTGAAATAGTGAATATATGTTTTGAGGTGAAGTCAGTAGGGAGAAGCAATATATTTTCATAGATCCATGAAAATAGTCATTTAAAAGCGAGCAAGGTGTTGGGCATACAAACTCTTCTCCAGGTCTCCTGTTATGTTTATAGGTGTTGTCGTTTTTCCTAGCTATAACTATATTTACTTGTTCTGCAGAATTCTGTGAAAACTTACTAAATTTGAGCATAGCAACCATAGCTCGAAACAAAGATTCTTCTGTAGGTAGATAAAAGTTACATGTTCGGATCTGGTTTGCAGAAGCAAGAAAAAATAAGGTGAAAGGCATTTCTGCTCATGAAAATTGAAAACGTTGCTTCTCATACTGTTAATTATTACCGATAAATTATTTGCATCACATCAGGCACTTTTAAGAGGCAAATTGCAGAGCTATTATTCTGTGGTCTGGCCCTTCTGGGAGTTTGGGGTCAGTAAGAAAAGCATTTGCAAAGTAGCCAACAATTTGATTAGTACAGACGACCTGCAACCACTCCAGTTAGGAGGTTTCTTGGGTTAGAAATCTATGACCTATAATGACTTGTCATAGAAACTGATAGGAAAGTTTCAGCTCAAAAATCACTTTAAAATAATGAGTTATTTCATTGTGCCAGGTGACATAGCTCCTTTGAATCCAAAATCTGCAGTCTGTCCCTACACCAGAAATCTGCCAACCCTGGGTGACAGGGAGAGAGTGTTTTACTTCTCTTGCAGTTGCCTGCAGTACAGATACAGGGATATTCTCAGAGCAGGCGGATGGACTAGAAAGTCAGTGGAGGGAGCTAGAGAAGCTGTCTGAACAGCATCACTGGGAGCAGGCAGAAACCAAGCATGGCCAATGTGTAAGTGGAAAGATGGAACATGTTAATGCATATGTGCGCGTTTCATTTTCTGTGTACCATCTCCACGAACTGGGCCCATTTCCATGACCTCTCTATGCACCTTGTGCTTGGAAGGGAATTGTAAAACCTTTGTTGTAATCTGTCAAAGAGGGACTTTTCAGAGAGTCTGACTGTGTGTGCCTCCCCTGTCATGGCTTGTTTAATGGCTCCCTTTCATTCATACGCTCTCCCTTCAAAAACCTACTGTACGCGGGGTCCTGGCGCTAACTTCTTGCTCCATTTTCTTTGTTGAGAAGCTCTAGTAGTCTGTGGCCACCCTGGATCAGGGTTACACTGGCTTCTGCAGTGCTGCATTTCTCCTTCATGTTCTTTCTCAGCATATGCAGGGCTGAAAAGGAGATTTTGCCATGTTTGTCAATAAAGAGGCTGCTTTTTTATCTTCTGATTTTCCAGCCATGTGATAAAGCCCTATAGCTTTAGAGCCTTTCGAACAAGGAAAGGGTAACGAGTCCTCTGTTCACCTGCAGAGAGAGGGTTGATGCGGTCATGTAAGACATGGAGAGCCAGGGAGATCAGCTGAAATGGGACCAAATTAAATGCATTTACTCTGCAATGTTCCATTAATGCCAAGTAATTACCACATAGAGTGGGATTTTTGTTTTGTTTTGTTTCATTTTGGCACAAAATAATTCTTTCCAAATATGAATGCATGAGGCTGTCCGGGCTGCTGGGCTCTTAGGTAGATTATAACAAGCCTTCCTTATTCCCACATGTTCTTCTCTCTTCCTTCTGGCATTTGAAAAGCTGGCAATACAAAGATGGGAAATGCAAATGCAGAGAGGAAGTCTCATTCTCAGTGGCAGTGATGCTGGTTCTGCCACTGTGGTACAGACTCCTGGCCTGACTTCTATCCCCAGGTTGCTGCTTTGGCAAATGCAGAGTGGTCCAAAGATGGATAGCAGAGAAACATTCCAGCTAGAAGAAAATTTTCGTTCACACACTCTTGTGGAAGCACTGCCTCATCCATCTGCCACCCTGACCTCTGAGAGGAGTGCTGCTAGAACACCGAAAAAGTACTCAGGGTGCCCTGAAATTCCTATGCTAACCATCCATACCAGGCACTAGGGTCTGTGTTGAAAGAGGGGTGAAGAAGGATCAGAGAGATGCAAAACTGCCATATGACAGTTCCTGTATTTCAAGGCCCAATCAGCAATGCATGAATGGGCATGTATCTAAAATTCTTGACAGAGTCCACACTCTCCTCTCTGCTCATTGGGCTATAGTGAAGAGTTCATAATTTTTCTTGGGTTTATTTTGGTGAGTGTCTGAAGGCACCCCAGATTTCCTTTCACACATACCACCTTAGTCCCAGGAACCCCTGGGTCCCAACTTAAGGCTTTCAAAATGCTGTCAGATTTGGCAGATGCTGACAATCTTGCCTTTGTCCAGGACTGCAGTCCCTGATGGTGGCATTCAGATATTCTTTTCCTGGCCATTAATTGGTCATTCACTGACTCTAGAACATTTCCTTGTCACTCATTTCCTGCATTTTTGTCAGGTAGGTATGGATATCTTGATAGTTACTATATGGCCAGTAAATCTTCTGTCTCCAGTTACCTTGAAAGTTTGATTTCTATGAGAAAGATAGATTTGATAAAGCACCTTTTGCTTTGTCAGGTGAAAATATGGGCAAATTTGAATTGCGCTGTTCCGTTATCTACCAGATTGTTTGCCCATGATTAACAAGGTCACTTTAACATTCAGGGTTCATCATGTCTATACAAGACCAGAGAACCTAATTTTATGCTCTTTAAAAAGTGAGGCAGAAGGAATCATTGGACTCAGTGAAAAGGTAAATGACCAGTAGCTGCTTTGAATGTGCACTATTTTGCTGGAAGTCTCCTTTGGAAATATCTGTTACACTCCCCAGGTATGCTATTACAGTGTGCTCTGGTTTTGCATAGAATTGACCTGCATTATTTACAGGTTGTGTCTGACTGAACATATAAGACTTCTCTTTAGATCAGAGGAGATCATTTCCAAGACATTGTCATGCCTCTCATATTTCTCTGAGGGTCTAGAGACTGTTCTTTACAGTGGGATAGAGGTAGAATTAACACCTGCGTGCATGAGGACTGCTAGAGGAATGTCTTAAAAAGAGAGGAGGAAATGACATAAAGATAAGGCTGACTTCCCTTCCATTTTAGGTGCCACTGGACTAGACTGTCCTAATGCTGTGAACCATTACTCCAAATGAGCGTTGTTTAACTGACACACATGTTGTTGGCTGGCTGTTTCCCACACATCTGTGTTCTGAGTGGCCACCGAAGCTGGCCGTTCTGCCTACAAGGTTGCAGTGCTCCTATTTGGACCTCTTGTTAGCAAGACATCAAAGACTCATTTTGCCTACTCATAAGAAAAAAGAAAAGAACTTCTTTAGCTTGCCTAAACTGCTTCTCTCATTCTGACTCTCCAAGAGTTGCCAATGAAAAGAAAATAGAGCAAAGTCATCACAAATATTGTGCAAGATTTTGTCTTTGCATGTAAAATCAAGTAAACGTAATAGTTCTACAAAAGCACTTGAGTACTAAGAAGCAGACATGGGTGCACAGTGGTGTTACTGTGGGTAGTGGGCATTAATAAGTTAGTAAATATATGATACCTTTTGATTTAAAGAGGGAGTTGACATCCTGAAGATCATGGCTGCCTGGCTCTATGTTGCAAATAATAAGAGAATCAAGCTTTGATGGAAAGAAAGAAATCCTCTTTCTTCCTTTCCACTGCTGGTACCCTCAGTTGTATGCAGTACTAGGTTGAAGGAATTTCTCCATCAGAGATAACTACCCAAAATTATTTTAAAGCCATGTGCCTATGTAAAAAACTCCTAATAAGGACTTTTTGCAGTAGCTTTTACATCAAGGATAGTTTTTTTCTCTATATATCACTCATTTTGTTTGCTGTTGTTGACAGAATATATTGATAGTGTTGCCTCCTACCTTAAGGATCTGGCATATGATGTAGTATTTCAGCTCTAAATCCAAGCTGAAATTCTCCTCCTACCTGTTTCCCTCAGTCTCTCCTTCAGATTGTGTTGGTATCACTGAAAGTTGAAGATGTTAATTTCCTGCCAGGGGAGTGCAGGCTCAAGCCTTGAATTCATCAGGACTAGATACAGTCTAGAGTATTGCAAAGATTAGATCTTGGATATGTGTGTTCTCCTACCCTGAATTGAAAAAAAAAAAAAAAATCTGTTAAAATATAATAGGTTGGATGCTATGCTGGATAAAGAATAAGTTTTGGAGTAGGAAAGCTGTTGTGGATAATTTAACTCACATTTTGATCTTGTCTTTACAGCCACAGGGACTTAAAACCAGAAAACCTACTGCTGGATGAAAAGAACAACATCCGGATAGCAGACTTTGGGATGGCATCACTGCAGGTTGGGGACAGCTTGTTAGAAACCAGTTGTGGGTGAGTGTCTCAGAACATACTGCAAAAATCAGTGATAGATTCCAGACATAAAGGTTGTCTATAGTAAGGGTTTCAATAAAGACATGCAGGCTTACACTGTGCATTGTTATTTTGCAGCAAGATGACAAATTGCTACGATGCATGCAGTGTATAATATAGCTAAAAGAAGGGGGTTTAAGTGCTTTGCAGGGAAAAAAGGGCCTCTGTAGGAGTCACAGGTAGATATAGAAATCAAGCCTTTCAGGTTTGGATTTATCTACATACACTGGTGTGTGTTTGCTTTCAGTGGCTGTATAATTTTGGGGAAACAGTAGTGTTAGCTGTTTTAAGAAGAAGCTTTAAAAATATTAAGGATAAAAAAAATTAATCTTGGGGTTCTGAAATGGAATTCGTGTGTCCCAGTGAGGCTGCCTGCTTGCAGTTCTTCCTATTCATGCTACACACACCAAATAAAGCATTGATACGAAGCATTGACAGGCAGGATTGATAGGGAGACAGCAGGGTCCTTTGCAATTACAAGCAGGGCATGAATGCAGACACAAAGGGGACAGCTTGGAGGAATATTGCAGGGTCAGTCTAAAAACATTTCCATGGCAATTCAGTTGCCAGAAAGAGCTTTCTAGGAATTTCCAAGGGAACCAACAATCAGTCCAACAGCTGAGCAAAGCCCAGGTGCCTGACCAGGGACAGGACATGGTCTCTGGGAGCAATGCCCTCTCATCCCCATGGCTACCAGGGGCACCACTTGACCATGCCCCACTCCACACTCCCATAGCTATGGCTTGGTGCCATGCTGACTGTGCAGCGGGGTAGCTGCAGTGAACTGTAGCAAGGGCAGCAGCTGCATTAAGCTAGCACCACAACACCAGCTTTTAGCTGTGTATGAATTTGTTGTAACTGCTAGCTCAGAAGCTGGAGTTACAGAGAGTACCAGTAGATTTCCACCTCCTTCCATACAGACCTACTCTTCCTGGCCTTTGGTCTTGTGAATCTGGTGACTTCAGCCCTGCCCCATCCTCAGCTGATTACAGTCCATGTTTTTTCAGACTGTCCCAAAGCAGTTCAGAATAGATGTGGAGTCCTCATGGTCCCCTGTACAACCCAGCCACTGCCTTAGTCCTGAGCTGTACAGCTCTGCTTTGCAGGTCATGAATAATGGATAGCTAGCAAATATATTTGAAGTTCATGATGTGGTTGAATGTTCATTGATGATTACACTGAGACCCACCTGTTCCTTCCTATCTGTGTCAAGATTTGACCTCTTAACTGCACAGATGAAAAGCAAGGAGCTAGGAGTCTGCACATGTGCTCCTTGCAGCTGCTCTCAAACCTCCCCTCTAGATTAAAAAAGTTCTTCCTGCAGTAGGTCCCCCAAAGCCTCTACACTCTTTAGATAAAATTTCCCCCCTTCCTTCCATGAGAAAAAAAAACAAAAAAAAGCATAAGTATAAAAACCAACCCCATCTTGCATTGTCCTGCAGGATTTTTCAAACTCCTCAGGAGCCTTTCAATAGGGCTCCTATTCTTGTTAGCACTGGGCTCTGTCATCCAGGTCTAGAGTCTCAAAGGGAGAGTTCCTTTCCATAAGTGGTGCTGGAATTCAAGCCTCCATGCTCAAGCAGAGCCAGCCCCCACATTGCATCCTTAAAATGTGCTAATAAAGAAATCAATGGAACGGAAGAGATGTGCCTGTAATAAACAGAACACAGCAGCAATGCTATGATCTCCTGCCTTGCGGATGCATTTTAAGTGTGGTGCCAATCAGCAGGCCTCTGTGTGAGCTATTACACCACTTCATTAATTCTCCTGGCATGGAGCCCAGCATGGCTGATACTGGTGTCTTGTGATCTCTCTGGTGTCCGGGGGTGAAGGGAGGAAGGAAGGAAAATGTAACAATATGCCACACTGTTCACAAAGAAAGGCAATCCACTTATGACTCCCTTTCCCCCGGAGAACATACAGTAACCAACCTCAGAGCTTTTCAAGGCAACAGTTTTAGCTACCCTTGTAGTTGGTACTTTCAGCCAGCAAGAAAAGGAACAAAACAGAGTGAATCATGGCTGAGATACTGAACTTTAATGAGATGCTCCTCAAAACACCCAGAAGTTAATTTCCAGAATGGTTTTATCTGTGAACACTGATAATGAGATGAAACTGTAACATTTCCAGTGACAGTCATGCAAGGAGTCTCCAGGTATTTCTGTCAGTCAGAGTGGGAGGATTAGATGGGGTTGAGACGTGTGATGCAGCTACCTTTGCCAGTACAGAGCAGTTAGAGTGAAGTCAAAAAGTCTTTGCTGTCACAAGTGAACTGCTAAATTTAGTCCAAAGTTTGGATAGGCGTTAGGTCACCACAGATCCGTGACTGGCCTCATGAAGATAATCATGTAGCCTTAAGTATGCTGTATTGCATACCTCAGAGTCCATGTTTTCTGGGAGCTACTCCTTAGATCTGCACAGTTTTCTGTAGCACTGATGGCTACCTGGAGAAAACAATAAAAGTTCAATCCAGTTGTGTTTGTGTAGGAAAGGGAGGTAAGGATGGACTTGCTGTTTCATTGACATAATTTGTCACTGACAGACTGCACATTGGTCCTTTGTTGTAATGAATCCCCATTACTGGAAATGTATATTGCACAAATAGTACATATACTCAGCAAAGAGGAATAACCAGAGTTTTAAGCATGTGTCTTTGGACCCTTGAAAGGAAGAGAAACCGTGTAGGGTCTGCAGGAATAATTCTGCTTACAGCAGAAATTGCACAGAAGGTGGTGTCATGGAGAAGTGGCCCTTGAAATGCCAAAGTAACACAGTGAGTCTGTGCATTCCTGCAGGAACAGGGGAAGTCTGTGAGCAAAGAGTAAACAAGGAAAGAAGCAGAAGATGTGGTAGGATGCCACTTCTGTTACTTCAGACCTACAGGTCTTCCTCCTCTTTACAGGCAGTGGCATGCAGAAACACTCCCTTGTCTCTTTTCACAGCAATTCACAGTGTTTCAGAATGGTAGATATTGTCCAATCCATCCTGAATTGTCACTAGGCAAGAAGAGTAAGTGCCTTATAGTTAAGCCTCAGGACTGAGACTGAGGTGATCTGACCTTGATTTCTGTCTCTGCTGAAGGCATTCAGGGTGGTCTTGAACAAGATGCATTACCTTTCTTTGCTTCGGTTCTCCATCTCAGCTAGTCATTGCAGAGCACATGTTGCTCTGAACATAAACTGCAGTCATTTCTGTAGGAGTCTTGGAAAGTAGGAAGGGTTAGGGCATTCCCTGTACCTTGTTCCTTTTTCTTGAACTAAGAGGGCTTATGGCTAAAATACAGGATTGAAAGATGATACTGTTGAGTCACTTGCAATTCTTGGGAGTTTGTAAAGATCTTTCCTAATTCCCATTGCTCTTTACAGAAACCTGGCAGAGTAAATTTTTGACATCTTTTCACTTCTCTCTGTTTCACTCATCACAGCTTTGAAACACTGAGTCCTACTGAGTGGAGATTGCTGCATGCTGCCAGGTGACAGAGAAGCCACAGCAGTCTCTGTGCTGCCTGCCTCCAAATCTCTACTCCAACCAAGAGTAGGACAGAGCTGACATGTAAATGTAGCTCATTCCAACACTAGACTCAATCTCTGCAGAGGCAGTCAGTATGGAGACTGACACTGCTGACAACTCCACAATTAACTATATGCAACAGTTCCCGCATATTGGTATTTCCATAGGGAACCCCTGGCCTGATCCAGAAAGCCATGTGCATGTGGGAAGAGCAGTGCTGATTATGATTTTATTGGGAGTGAGTAGAAAACCTCTCTACTGTCAGCAGCATGATGGAGGAAAACAGCAGCTTCCAACCCCTGCATAGTCAGTTCCTCTGCTCTCAGCTCTCCCTAGCAGTTCCTAGCAACATTTTGCAGACCCACAGATTGCCTGGATCTATTACTGGCTCTTTTTATGCTCAAGGTACTTATAACAAACAGTGCATTGTGTGTTTGTTAGAAATGCTAGCAGAGATCATCTAGCTCTTGATTCCCTTACATCTGTATTTGGTGTATCAGCACAACTGTGATAAGCGGGTAATTCAGAAGAGCAGTGTTCAGTTGCCACACACCTCAGTGTCCAAGCACCATTTCTGATTTTAATGACAAGATGTGATGTTGTGCATATTTTTCTCCTTCATAAGAAACTTGTGCATATTGCTTTAAGCACATGCAAGTGTCCTGCATCCAGTTATTGTTAGGGTTGCAAATTTAGGCTCTTGAAATTGGAGATGCCAGAATTAGTACTTTTTACCCCATCTCATCAAGAGCTTCCATTGCCAGCACTCCATTCCCATCTTCTTCCACAATTTGCACTCTAGTTTTGCCAACTTCTCTCAGTCATTTCTGCACCATATTTGCTCCCAAATCCTAGATCCTTTTCCACTAGGTTACAGCTCTAGTTTCCCCCACCTGGTTGTCCCAGTCAGTTCCTGTCAGTCCTAGATCTATTTCCATTGGTTTTGACCTCACTTTGGTTTAAAGTTTGGTATGTCATGATAACCCCAGTCACAGCAGCTCATGGTATCAGCTTCAGGTAGAAAAACTGTTCTGTGAAGTGTTACTGGTCCAGATAGAATTTAGATCCTGATGCTCTATAGTTTCTGCAGGTAAATGCAAACTGCAGTTTTCTAGTGGAAGTTTGAGTAAATTCATCTAGAGCCTTCAAACAAGTGAAATTGAAGTTTTCCCTTTGCGGTTGAGGATACTAGAAGTTTTTCTTTTTTATGGAGAAAAAACATTAATTTAGGTTAGACTTGGTGGAAACGTTTTGGCCCATACACAACATGCATCAACACACAAACATGAAGCCAGTCAGAGGTAGACAAAAAGCAAGGAAAATTGTTGTTAAATTTGATGGTAAGTCATAACTTAAAATGAGGATTATAAAGGGAAATACCAGGCAACCTTTTTAATAACCATTAACACCAGCTTCACCTCTAATACATACCAAGGTATATTAGCAAGCTT